ACACCATCTGGCGGAAAATCTCGCGGCTTTTTCAAATCACGTGAGAATGTGTACAAAACAACAAAAAATGGCGCCTGCTGGGTCGTTTTCAGCTAATGTCGTTGATTTTTAAAGTAATTTTGAGTGATAAATAATTTTTTGCGATCACTGCACTTGCGCGGCGGGCAAATGCAATGAAATTTGTACTCTCCCGACAATAAAAAGTACTTGCCCCGGGCGATCGGGCAATGGTTAACATCGAGCCCTGACAAAGTTAAGACTTTATTACTACAGAGGACTATAAATTAAACATACTCCACCGTAATCATAAAGAGTACTCTGATCAAAACTGAGTAGGATAAATTTAAAAAAACGTTACATGATGTTTTTGTGTGCTTGATCACTGAAAGGACCATTTGCAGCATATATATGGAAAATATTTTTTTAAACATAAACATTCAAATAACATTAGGTTTATAATGCTCCTTTTTGCACTTAAAGGTGCAGCAGTCTGTCCGTGATGGAACTCTGCAGTAGCTTAATGCTTGGGGTTTGGAGACAGTCAGTCAGTCGTTAAACTGGAGTCCTTCTGTCTGTCAATATCTGCACTTGTATTGGTCATTTCACATTTTTGCATAAATGATTCCAAAAATGTAGTTGATGCGATCAGCCTGTGGTTCTGCTGAAGTGTTAGGAGCACTCAGAGGGCTTCAATAGCTCACCTGCATCACTATAAAATTGTGACTCTCATCTTCCACTTGATATCAGCCAGGGATTAGTTCAGACGGCGAATGCTGACTAGGTATGGGCATCTTTTTTGTCTATGTGGGCCACAAAGAAAGTAAAGAATAAAAAAACTAGAGGTGCTCTAAAATGAATGGGTAGATGGCTTTGCTGTGGACCAACACCAAGAGATGACCTGGTCCCCAAAGGCATCAATAACTGTAAAGACTTTGCTCTACACAACAGAACCTACCTGGTTTCTGTGTCTCACCATTGTTCCTCCAGACTGGGACTTTGGTTTCCAAATGGCTTGACCCAACCGGTGGAACCGTTGTATTCTGTGTGCTGCATACATCCAATCACATTTTTTTCAACCTTAGCATGGAGTTGCTCTCATCAGAATCTCAGATTATAGTTAAAGTGTGCAAAGAAATGCAAAATAAATAACCCAAATATAACATAATTTGATACTATTTAAAAAAAAAATTCTGAGTTATTTTCATGTGCAAATAATCCAGAAATGCAAAACTAAGAAGAGGAGAAATATGCAAACACTTGCCTTTAGTATCCATACCATGCTTAATTAGTACTTTTCAGAGTATCACTGCTTTGGATGACCTTCCTTGCAGCACTTTAAGTCCTGACTCCTGTAGTTCTTCCTTTGCAATCTCTCAAAAAACTGTCAAACTGACTTTTTTACACCGTCATTTTAAAGCTGCTATTCTCCAGTTTTGCTGGAGTAGATTTTTCCCCTCATGCTTTCGTAAACCTGGCACTTAAGTTCTCTGCAAACAGACCGCTTCTTAAGAAATAACTTTAGTTGCTTCCACTTGATGACTGGTTTCATTAGATTTTTCAAAATGTCTAAAAAAAAAAACATATCCATTCAGATTTTCCATGATTGTGTCAATCTCTGAACTTTGTACTATGTAGAATAAAAAAAATCCCTGATGGTTGAACAAATGAATTAGCATTTTCATACAAAATGCAGATATGACAAAGCTGCTTTAAAGATGACAGAAATACATAAACAACCAAAGAAAAAAGCCCTGTACTGATTTTGAAACACAATGTTGTCCATATTTCAGGGGATGTGTGGCAGTTCTACTGGTCATACATCCCACCAGGTGTCCAGTTTTATCAGTATGGTTTGGATTTTCTTCCAGGTGATTGGATTTGTTTATGGGCTGATTATTCAGCAGTTTGGTTGGACCGTGTACATCGTATTGGCTGGATTTGCAGTGTCCTGTCTGGTAAGTTTTCACATCCACTGTCTCTTGTTTTCTTCATATCACATCCAGCATTTTTAGGATTCCCTGTAAACAGCTGCCATTTTGTTTCGTTGCTCCCCCCCAGCTGACCCTGCCACCGTGGCCTATGTACAGGAGGAACCCTCTGCCCTGGCAGCCGGTCGTATCGGAAGCCAGTGGGGAGCCTAACCAGAAGCCTCAGGACAACATCAAGAGAAAGAAGCATAAATAACTCCACTCTTCCCCCTTTGGCCATGAATTACAATTGTTTTGGGGTTTTTTTTATATGGAAAAGTGAAATTTGTCCTATAATTTACATTCAGTTTAAAATCATTCATAATACGTAATTAAAAATATAAAAAAATATCTGATGCCATCTGTTTTATTGATGTTAAAATTTCAATTTACAGTAAAACATTCTAAACAAAATATCAGTAAAATCTCCAACTGATATAAAAAAAGACAAGTCATTTAATAAATCATTCTGAAGCAATAAAGGTATTAAATTTTAGTTTTATTAGAAATCACACTATCTACAATATATCTATTACACATGTTAAAAGAAGAAAAGTCCAAATAACAGCAGAAATAAAGATGATAAATTGGATGATGAATAAATGAAACTCCAACAATAAAAGAGAAAACCAAATGGGAAGCTTTAAAATAAACTTTGCATAGGCATCCTTAACTTTTTAAAGGCTCATTTTCACATTTGGTGTCAATACTCAGAAAGTCAAAACAAAAACTCATCAAGATAATTATCTGTATTGATTTATTAGACCTGAATTTTCCTCCTGGTACAAATTTCAGTCTAAGTTTGGTAGAGGTACCGTAATAAATAAAAGGACGTTTGATTTGATAGAGTTACCAGTGCTATCCCGTAGTGTATTCTACCATGCTTTTCACATCTTTACGGCAATATCCTCAAAAAACTTCAGCTGTCTCACCATGACGGCATAGGCGTGGTACTTCTCATCTCCCATCTGGTCACGAAGGCACAGCTGCAAATAAAAACAAAGGCACCTGAATAAAAATTTCTTTTATGATTTAATTAGAACTCATGGATTAAAATGTAACATCTTTTTTTCCCTTTAGACTTAGTTACTTAGTGTTCCTCTCTGAACTCAACTCCCAATCCCTGATGAGGAACTGGCTGTGATTTCCAGGCGGACTTTGTGGAAACAGTTTCAAATCCAAAGCTTTTCTATGTCCCTGGGGCCTGTTTCAGAAAGGAGGTTAAGTGAAAACTCTGAGTTTGTTAACCCTGAAATGAGGGAAA